GCAATTCATAGTGTGACACTTTAAAAAATAAAACGTTTTCCATCATAAACAAACCGCTAATGCTTTCGGTTTGACTTTAATTCTAGGTGAAAGGATTGTATTAATTCAGTCAGCGAAAGTTTTCCGATTCGCAAAAAACAATCAAACTGTTTAAAGTTTGCCAAAAAAATTTAAAAAATGCAGAAAGAGTTTTTTGAGCAAAACTCTTGATTTTATGTTCGAAATTGCTCAAAAAACTCTTTCTCCCCTCTTCCAAAATTCTCGCAAATTGCATATTATAATTTTTGTGCAATTTAAAACAGTTGCCTGAAATTTTAAACTGTTTGATTAATTTAATTTCTTGCCGACTTAATTCATACAACCTAGACAGCGATTTGATTATGATGAAAAACGTTTTATTTTTCAAAAGGTGGCACTATGAACTGCCGGTCCTAAAGACCATATTCACAAGAGTCAAAAAATGCTTTTATGTAGGTATACGCACAATCCACACAATGTGGGTATACGTATTTTCATCAAACAACTTCGGTTTTGTTTTACTTTTTTTGGACACTATAGCGCCTAGCCGCCTAGAATATATAAAAAAAATTGTTTACATATATGTAAACAATTTTTTTTAACTTTTTAGTACCAATTTGTACAAATATGTTTTCATTTTTTTAAATGTATTTAATATTTATGTGACAATAAATAATTTTTTTGTTTTATAAGTAAATTGTTCTTTTTTGTTTATTTTCACCTCTCACAATAAATCGTATACAATTCTATTTTTAAAAATATTTATTTTGTTTTTTTTGTAAAATAATAAGGTTTTTTTAGGATATTTAATCAAGGCCACAATATATTGTTTTTAAGGTAGCTTTATTAGCCATATTTTTTAGAAGATAAAACTAAGTGTTTCATACAAATTAAAAACTATTTGTTAATTTTTATAACACATAAAGTGTAAATTTGTATTCAACTTTTTAAATTATCTGCATATTATATAACCATTGATTAAGGATTGTCTTTTGTCTTTGTCAACTATTAATTATCTGTTATAAAAGTTAACTAAGATTTTTTTAAAGTTATATATAAAAAAAATTTGCAAATTTATGAAGCACCTATTTTATCTTTAAGAAAATAAAGCTAAAAAAAACTAATTTAAAAACAAAATATTGTGGCCTTTAATAAATATCTTAATAAAACATAATAATATGATAGCTTGTTAGATAGAAATTTTATGGTTACAAATAGATATTTTTAAATAATTTATTAAAATATATATAAAGGATATATTTTAAACTACGTCTTTAAGAAAGCTATTAAGTATGTAGGTAAGTATCTATACTGTATCATTTTATTTATATCTTTAAATAGATATTTTTAATTACTATATTAAAAGATATTTAAACAACGTATTTTTAACCACGCCATTTAGATGTCGATTTTGCTATGTTAAAAGCTAGTCCATGCAATAACGTTTTTTTTAAATAAAAAGTTTTATCAATATTAGTTGTCTTTTTACTAAAATAAATAAAACATTTTATTTATCTGAAAAAATGATGAATATTATCAAATGTTTTTTAGACATAAAAAATAGTCAACAATGACCATTTAATTTTTTTAACAATGATCTATTAACTATAAAATAATAGATGTATATTTTATATAAAAATATGGATAAAAATAAGGCGTTAAGTATTTAAATGTGATATATAGTTAAGCATATATAAAACATATTTTATTATACATTTATAAGACTTCTTTTAATACATTATTAAAATTATGACTACCTATATATGTTTTATTGACCTAGTTTGAAATTATTTATTATACGTATATTAGACGGACACTTAGATGTCTAAATTATGTCGTTCAAATTGGCCAATACTACCATCCTTAGACCATCGCAAGCACGTCTATTAAACGTCGTATAAACGTACCAGTGTTACTTGGGTATGTGCTGTATGGGAAATAAACTTAAAATTTTAATTTTATTTCTTAATTGTTTGAATTACAAATAAAATGGATTAGAAAAAATATATTTTTATTTAATAAGTTGTTAATTTTTTAAAGACATTTTCTATATCGCAAATTAATTTCTGATATCGAAAATTATTTTGTGATATCTAAAATTAATTTTCGATATTGCAAATTAATTTTTGATATCAGAAATTGAATTTGTGATATCGGAAATTCAAATGTGATATTTTTAATTGACGATTAAAAAATACTTTGGCGTTCCATATATCAACAATTAATGCGAATAAGAAACCTTTTATAAAATATAAATCAATAAAAGAAATAAATATAAATATATATTTTTTATTTCTTTAATATTTATTGAGTGGCTTGAGTATTACTTATAAGCAAAGTATAAGCAAATTGATTCTTTAAGCAAGAAATATTATGGTTTTTTTAAAGAGTTTATTTACCTGGTTGAATTAAGTCTATTTCAAATAATTTATTTTTAATGAATTAAAATAATATTAAATTATTTTTTAAGCTGCATAGTTGCAGACTAATTTAAAATAATAATGCTGCCCTAATTATAGAGCTAATTAGCGGTTTATTCGTAATTGACAGAAAATTTAGTTGCAGCCGCCCCCAAATTAAATTATTTCTTAATGCTTCTTACCAGAAATCATATTTATATTCTCGACTTAATTTTGCTCTAGGAGAGTTTCGAACCCTCTCATGGAAATTCGAGCTTAATATCCCGGCATAAAACGAGCAGGACGATAAGAATACAGAAGCGAAAGGGCCTTAAGTTTAATTGAAATTTGTCTAATCTCTATATTAAAGTTAAGACAACCGATATTTTACTGTGAATTGTTAAAAAGAAGAACTTAGCATTTTTTTCTTTCAGGATTATTTGTTTCGAAAACAAATTTCATGGAAAATGCCCCCAAATATAAATATGATTTAATCTAAAGAGTATTAAGAGCTGCTATTATTTAAAGCAGTATCTACTCGAGCAGATTGGATTAGCCACCAATTGCGAATGGGAACCGGGACGGCGATGCTCCTGCCACGGTAATCAGCTTAGCGAATTTATTGTTTCCCACGACAACTACCTGCCAGTAACGCTCCTGCTCCTGCCGCTGCTTTTGTTCCAGGATCAAACTCATTTATTTAATTAGATGGCGATTAGAGGAGTGCAATTGTGACTATTGTTCTTGTTTAATAACGTAATTTTTCTAGAGTACAATTTACAAAAAATATAGGACCTTATCTTTTTATAGTTATTAAAATCACGATACACAAACACCGGTATGCTGGATATGAAACGAAAACTCGTCCAGGCCGCGCATGTGACCTCACGTGCGAACCATATTCAAATTTTACAAACAGTTTTGCATAGGCATACGCTATGCAGGGGTGTTTTACTACGATTTCTTTTGAGTTCTTTCCGCATTTATTGTGTTTTTCGAGGCATAACCCAAGCACAGGGTTTTGCAAAGTTTTGAAAAGTTTTTACTGCATTTATTGAACATCAATAACTATTTATAAGGTATTTATAAGCCACTCACGGGGGTTTTATACGAGGTTATTTATTAATTTTGTGTTAAAAGGGTGTCTCAAAAGTAACGCCAGATTTGAATTAAATAGAAAACACAGTTTTTAGTCTAAACTTTATTATTTGACTTGTATATAGGTATATTTATTAATAAAATGAGTAGCCAAGCGCTTTCGTCACCTGTCTAGTGACATCATCAGGGCTAGCCCTGAAAAGTGAGTAAATTTAGTTTTAAATTGCAAGATTAAATTCTTGTTTTACTTACTTGTCAAGGCGAGCTTACATTTCCTAACAGCAGCGAAAGTGAGGAACAAAAATACATTTAGCCCTGAGGGGGATTTAACAAAACAGATTTTAAAAATTACATTTCTAACGTTAAAAATTTTGACATATGACAACGGAACCATGAGGTGGTTGTTACCAACATAATTGGATTGGTGCCAACTTCGTAAAACTAATATTGGCGGTAAATTTGAAATAGCATGATTGATTATACTATAAATAACAAATTATAGATTGGTACGTTACAAAAAGTCTAAATAATAGTGAGGAACAAAAATAAATTTAGCCCTGAGGGGGATTTAACAAAACAGATTTTAAAATTACATTTTTTAACGTTAAAAATTTGTAGTATTTAGATTGTTATTTTTTTATTGAATCAAAAAGTACATAGAATACTCTCGCACTTTAAAATGGACCTGCGTTATTATTACCTGTTTAAATGCATTTTTATTTTTTACCTGTCACATTAAAGAAATGTAAAATTCGGCATGAGTAAGTAAATTCAATTAAATAAAAATATTAATAAGAAGGTATGAAATTAATTGTTGCTGAAAATATGTTACATTGGTATTAAAAGCGTTCGCTGCCAATTTAACTTTCTCATAACATTACACTTAATAATTGCACCCAGGCCCAGGTCGTCCCTATATTTATAAATATTTAAATATAATGGGAATTTGCAGTGCAAATAACATTCCAACGCAGTTACCCACCAGATTTTGATTCGCACATGACGTCACACGGTGCGAGAGAGATAGCTATAACATACCGGTTTTTGTATATCCTGATTAAAATATAGCTTTAATTTTATAAAAAAATATTTACTTCAAACTTGATATTATTGAATTGGTATAACAGACAAAGAATAACAATAAAAAAAACATAAGAAAAAAAAGAGAAACCTTTTAATAAATGTGGGTTTATTGAAATTTTATCGAATAACAATCTCTTTCATTGCTAAACAAACATGTTTAATGTCATATCATCATTCTGTATATTGGAAAAAGGCGTTTAATATTGATCGTGTAGTTACGGCAAACATATCGAATATGCAATCTCTTATATATTTTGAGGGGAGAATAAATCTGATTAATTAAAGGACGAATAAAATATATAAATTGAATACAAAAATTTAAATTTTTCTAGAATTAAATTATTAAAGTTATTTACGATTACTTTTTGTAATTGAATTAAAAAAGGTTTATTTGTCTTTCAGAGAGTCCAAGCTTCAAGCAGCCTATTACTAACACTACAGTTGCTGTAGGACGGGAAGCCATTTTGGAATGTTTAGTAGAAAACCTAAATCCCTACAAGGTAAGATCAAAACTTAAAGTACCTACCAAAAGTACCGGAAAATTGTACATAAAACTCAAATGTTTAATTTACTTCTTCTTATTTGTTGTCGCCTTCATACTAGTAGAACCATTGACATACAGGGAGTTCAATTTAAAACTTTTCACCCTAAATTTCATGGAAACTGGAAGGTTTTAAAAAAAACGCCGGAACAAGTAAAATTTTATATCGAGGGGGACTATTTTTTATGACAAAATTTGGTTTCGCACCCTTACTCCCTGCGCCCAGGAGCTTAAGAATTTAAATATGGAAAAGGTATCGAGTAATACATCATTTTAAGAAATCCCTACATGTTGATGTATTTAAAATCAATCGATTCGTTGTAAAAATATTTAAGAAAACCATTCCAGAAGTAAAGCACAATATTACTTATGTAAAACATAAGAATGAATTGATTAGGTTGTTTTTATTGTTTATTTTAATATTACAAAAGAGTATAATACTATAAGAGTATTGCAATAAATTCACGACGAACGGACAAAACCCTTGGGATTTCAAAAATTATTTTTTTTGCTAAAAATTTACTTTGGTTGTCAAAAAATTATCCTATAGGGTTTAAAAGTCATTTCCACAAAAAAATCTCCCAAAAAATGGGTGATACCTATGTGTACCAATGTACTTCATTTATAAAAAAAACAATAGATGATCTTGGTACAAGGTAGTACCACTTTAATTTTTGAACATTAGGAAATAAAAAATGCTGATCAATAAAACTAATAATTATATAGTGAATTTTTATAAGTGGTGTCTTCTGACTTCTTCCTCATACGAAGCCCTTGAATCAGAATCGTCATCAGTAGAAAAGATTTATTTCAGCTAAAATCTTCGTTGTCACACTATAGGAACTGGATCAAAAAGATCGTTATTAGCATCCAAAATTGAAGCAGACCCATGAGGATCTGGATTTGAAAGATTATCATCAGCATCTTCGTCACCCGGGTGACGCGTCATGACGTAAAGGCCTCTACGTCGTTGACTGCCATATCGTCGTCAACCTTCATTTCTAATTTTACGAAATTTCTAAGCTTTTCCAACTAAAACAATTTTTTTGTCTTAGTTTAGCTCTAAACAAGCCCTTTTTGCGAAATTATTATCTTTGCCGAAAGTCGACCAAAAAAATGGGTGTATTTTTAGATAAAGTATACTTTATACTACCCATGCCCAATTACAGAAAATTTATAACTTCATTTATTTATTTACAAACAAATATTTACTACTAAGGTGCAAAATTGGCAACCTAACCTCACTTTGTATTGCCTGGAAGATTATGACAAATAATAATAAACCTTTTTCATGCATTGCTTTGAAATTATGCAAAAACTACAATAAATTCATATTCTTACCTTTTATGTAAAAAATTCTGTCTAAACTCTAGACTCTAAAACTTACCTAAGCGCACTGATTTTCACAAATTAAAACATAATTTACGTTGCCCTTCTTTTACTGCACCTTGGTACATATTTGTACCACTTTTCATAATTTCGCCAATAGATGGCGCTGACACCATATTTAGTGGAACTTATGTGTACCGAAAAACGTCTATAGGCCCATAGAGTCCCTTAAGGCTAAAATTCTCCTTAAACCTTATTAAATTTCGACTTTATGGCAATTGGTACATATGTGTACCAAAGTGAAATAAAGGGTTAAAAGCAATTTGTGGAATTAAACGACAGTTCTCTGTGATTCTTTGACGAAGCTATTTTAAATTTTAAGGTTAAGGGCTATAAACAACAGACTTCAAATGACCCCAAAGATAAAAATCCATTGGTGATACATCGGGTGATCTAGCCTGCTACTCTATCGCTCTATACATTTATTTGGAAATTTATTGTCTAACCATTGCCGGACTGGAAAGACATAGTGGGGATGGCTTCATCTTGCTAAAAATACAATTAATCTTTATTAAGTAAAGAATTTTCATTTGCATCGAGTTTTTTTAATAATTAAAGCATTAATCCTAACATATCAAAATATATTATTTTATTTAGATTTTCATCAATAAACATTTGACCAATTATTTAGTTTCCTAAAATACCTGCCCATACATTTTATTTATTTTTTGGATACTAGGCAGAGCTGCGAAAGTTACTTTTGAAAAGTATCTAGTTACTTTTCTAAGATACTTTAAACAAAATAACTTAGTTACCTCGGGTAACTAGATACTATCCGAAAGTATCTAAGATACTTTTAAGTAACTAAGATACTTTTCAGCTACACACTAAGTATGAATAAAAACTATAAAATTATGAAAATTCAACAAGTTGTAGGTTAGGTAATTACTTTGAATCATTCTTAAATTCCCCCAAGTTTATCTAAGAAAGTATCTAAGTTACACTGAAAAGTATCTAAGTTACTTTAAAAAGTATCTTAGTTACTTTGAAAAGTACCTTAGTTACTTAAAAGTATCTAAGTTACTTGAATGTATCTTAGTTACTTTACCGAGTAACTAAGATACTTTTTTAGATAAAAGTTACAAGATACAACGTATCTAAGTTATATTTAGATACTTTTTGTCCAATATAAAAAATATCTAAGATAAAGTATCTTAGATACTTTAAGTATTTAAGTTACTTTTAAGTATCTTTTTTTTCAAGATACTTCCAGCCCTGATACTGGGTTTGTCCTTTAATAAACTGATGATAATTTTCATTACTCCAATATCTGCAGTTATGTTTATTTACAAATCCATTTAAATAAAAAGTACATTTATCAGTAAAATAAATATTTTTTAAAAATAAGTTATTATTATAATCATTTTGGTCATTATTTCACAGAACTGGACTGTCAAAATCATATTCTCTTAACTCTTGACAAATTTTCATTTTATAAGGATGAAATATATTAAGTTTGGCGAAATGACGCATTTATATCGAAATGACCCAACGCTTCTATTTGAGTTATTTCATTCAAAACTTGAGCCTGCTTATGTTTTACATTATCAACAGATCTAGTTTCAGTAAATTTTGCAATCAAATTTAAGTCATACCTATGGAACGTGGCTGTATCAGGATGTCGTTCGTTAAATATTAATGCAGTTATTCGAAAACATTGATTTTTGGCTCTATAAATTAGCACTCTTTCAGCCAAAGTGTGAACCATTTTTATTAATAAATTAATAAAATTACTTGGAGTGTCACTAAATGGATGTTACCTACTAAAAGTAATAGTATAAATAAGTTAAATAAATTTTGAGGGGGGTAAAAAATTATAAAACAAAGGAATATTTAATTATTAAACTATTAAATGTTATATGTTAATTTTTTAAAATAGTAAAAGGCAAAAAAAACAAGCCAATAATTTTTTATTTGTTAATAAAAGCATAAACATGGTGTGATGTTGGTTCGTTGGTGTTGTAAAATAATATTCAGAAATACTATTAAGGGGATTTATTGTAGTAATCATTACATGACAAGGGTGGACATCAACTCTGCCTAGTGCCACACACCGTTACCTGGCAGCTAGCTGACCCACTCTACTTGACATGACATAACACTAATAAGTTACACGTAACAAACTATTACAAATATATATTATGATTACTTTCAAATTAAGAAGGTTATAATAACAATACACGTGGAATGCAATTGCCACATTACCACAATGGTTTTTCTAAAATATTTCGAAAACGAACGGAATAATTTAAAAAAATAAAACAAAAATGAGGGTAAGGGTGGAAAACCAAATTTTGCCGTAAAAAATTGTACCCTTCGATATAAAACTATACGTGTCTCGGAGTTTTTTCAAAAACCTTCCAGTTTCCGAGAAATTTAGGGTGGAAAGTTTTAAAATACAATCGCTTATGGCAAAAACTTTAGCTTGGGAACAAGAAAGACAGGCAAAGTAATGTTGGTTGAATGCTTGGTTTTGCTTGGCACAAGTTGGGTAGAAACTCTTTTTATAGGAAAAACCTCACGTATATTATTATTATTATTATTATTCAATGTACGGTTGATTTTGATATCAAACAATCTATATATCTTCCTCACTTTATCGCGAACGAAAAGTAGTTTAACCCTTAACTACTAACGTTCCAATTTCATGACATTAGTACGTGCCGTCTCAGAGACGTTTGTTGTTGAACAGGCTTTTTACATAATAGTTTTTAATTTTTAACAACATAAACTTATTAGAAAGGTTACTATAACATATACTGAATACCTTCAACTGTAAAGGTTTGGTAAAAAAAAGCCCATGTTGAAAAAAAAACATTTATTCTTAAATCTTAAAAAATTTATAATTTTTTAACACATTAACTTAGGATTAATTTTTTTCATTATAATATTTAGTAAACGTAAAAAAAAATTGTTCTAATAACTTAACATGGGTAGGTAAATCATAAAAAAACATAAAAATACAAAAAAAACACCGACATATAAAAAAATACAATCTGGTAAAAGTACATAGACTGAGCACATTCGATACATATTTTCTTGCTGCATTCTAAACAAATAGGATTTTGACAAGTATAACAAACATAAGCAGTTTGTCTTTTTTTCTTAGAGGGGAAAGTATAGCAAGTTTTTCTTTTTGCTAAACATTCAATTCTCATTTCTGGTAAATTATCTTCTACCTTGAGTCCCAGAATATCGCAACCAACCGTAACGCAACTACTAATGTGACGTCTCCTAGACGGCGATCGATATATTTTACCAAATAAAAGTTGAGCAGAACCTAACACCCTCGCCAAATTTGGTACACTGACTGAAAACCGGCTTATTTAAAAGTAGATAAATGGTCAACCTTGAATAACAAGGCTGAGCTTGGTTTAGATGACCCAGTCTCTTTACTTCCGTCTCGTAGACGTCACGTTAGTACTTAAGGGTTAACATAAATGAGAATAAACCATTTGACAAATCCCAATGTTCATAGAAAAATAAAACGATGATATTTACCAGACATACCAACATACCAATACAACTTGTTTTAAATTTTAAATTCCAATTTTCAGGTACTTTTGGGAT